TGGTGCAAATTACTGACCTCTGTCATCATTTTAAGTGGGGGAACTTGCACAATCGGTGGCTGACTAAATACTTTTTTGCCCCACTGTATATCATAGTATATTTTTGTCTTAGATATAATTTGAATACATGTTTTTACTAGTGATAAAAACTAAATACCGTATTGTGTACATAAGTCATTACAGACTTTATGCATTATTTGAAAGGCTCTGAAAATGCTGTTTTAATGCTAATCAGTCTGATCTCTGCAACAAACAGTACTGTGTATGTTAAAGCATTGAGCCACCCATCATTGTGTGTAGTTTGTTTTGTTTTTTTGTTGTTGTTGTTGATGTTATCCTTCTAGTGCATAGGTGTCAAACTCTGGCCCGGCCTAATTACATTTGGCCCACGAAGCCATACCAAATTACTATTAGAGCTGGCCTACTGGTATTATGCAGCTAATATGTATATATTGTTTAGTATTAAACTTTGCTTGTTCCATATTCAGTTTTTCAGCAAAACGTGTTTGAGTCCATAAGAAAAGATTGATTCTCATATCTGGAGGAAGATTTTTTTTTTCAATAAATATTAATGTTAGCCCGCGACTTTGTTCCAGTTTTGAATTTTGGCCCACTGTGTATTTGAGTTTGACACCCCTGTTCTAGTGCATTAAAAAATTGAAGCCTTTACCTGTTGGGTGCTTTCCAGATGGTATTGCATGGTGGATCAAAATCTGATGATACTCATAATTCCATCAGCACTCATTAAAATCCCAACACCTCTGGCAGAAAAGAAGCCCCAAATCATGGTGGAGCCTCCACCATGTTTTACAGATGGCTGTAGACACTGTGTTCTAGTTCTTTGGTAGATTATTCCTATTTTTAAGGACATGACTTTTTATAGATAGTTTTTTTTTATTATTATTATTATTATTTTGGCCTGCCAGTTTTTTGTTTGTTTTTTTGTCTCCACTTCAGTTCAGTTTATTGAAAATACTGCAGTTGCAAAAATTACAAGAAAGACTGGCTCCTTTGAAGAAAAATACAAAGAATAATGAGTAACTCAAGAATTTAGTACATTTAGCATATTTGTGGCAAAATAAGAAAAACCTGATTGTTTGGTTGTGGTTTAATCAGATTTGATTGTCAGTGCTTTTACAACACAATCAGTGTCTTTGGGGCCTTTAGGTTTTTGGTTATGGTTTTTCTAGCTTTGCACACTTTTAATTTCTACTTTTAACACACACTTTTGCACACTTTTAATTTCTACGTTTAAGATGAAGCTTTGGCTGGCACATTTAACAACATGCAGAGATTTATCCCAAAGCCCTCTCAGCCTTGTTTTGGCTGCGTGCTCTGGGTCTCTGTATACACATAGGTGAATCATCACCTCAGGCCAGGTTTTATGTCTTCTGACTCAACAAGCCTCCCTGCTGCTTCTGTTCCGAGATACTTTCCTATCTTTAATGAATTTTGTAGTAACTGTCGCCCATTTTCAAAAACTTTTTATTAACCCTAACCCTAGGAACTTTAAAGTGCTTCGTTACTAAACAAACAAATGCTTCTAATATCTCCCAAATTTCTACATTAGGAGACCTGCAGGTGGCCATGGAAACACTATTAACTGCCATTGCCATCATTAAGCAGTCCAGAGTGTATGGAGATGAGCGATGCCAGACGCTGGTCACATCACTCAAGGATTGTCTAGTCTCTATCCAGGGCAACTATGGCTACAGGTTTGTATAACTGCCTATCAAAATGCTGTCGTTGTTGTCCATATATGAACGTATATATACGTATGTATATGAACTAAAACTGAGGTTGGACCTAGCATTAGATTTCTTACTTTGTTACAAAACCATATTTCTTTTCAGTGAACAAAGTCGCTCTGGAAAAAGAGACCGGGACAGGAGTCGGGACCGAGAGCGAGAGCGGGACAGAGACAGGGAATGGAGCCGAGACCGTGAAAGAGACCTGGAACGGAGTCGAGAGCGTAATAGAGACCGGGAACGGAGTCGTGGCAGAGAGCGCGATAGAGACTGGGACAGGAGTCGTGACAGAGAGCGTGATAGGGACTATTCTTCTGTTTGTGAAGATGCAGGAATGTCTCGAAGACACCTGGAGCACTCCTGGAGTGGAGAAAGGGAAAAGGCGTATTCACGGGAACGGGAAAGACACAGAGATCACAGAGACAGGTACCACTAATTAGGTAAGTTTTTCACTAATATTAATTTGTACACTACAGTTATATTTTACCATCAATCAGTTTCACGTTTTTGGAATATCTACTATTTTTCCAGTAGACATTTTGACCTCTGATGGAAGGAAAGCCCAGGTGTGTTCCACATAGGTTGCATTCCAATATTGCTAACTCACTGGAACAACTTACTAGAACAAATGAGCCATTTTTTATTTCACCTTTTGTTTTTCTTATGGTGACAAAAAAAAACACAAGTCGCCTGCTCTCAAGAAGTTCTGTCATCCGTGTTAGGTTTCTCATTACACAGTAATAAGTACAAAAAACTTAAATAAGACTTACAACATCTTTTAGTTTGTTCAGTAAACCTGATAATGCAGATTTATTCATGTAGAGCACAATAACTGTGCTTTACTTTCTTCAACCTTCAACAATTTGTTCAGGAATTTAGCAGCACTTTGTGCTGTGATGTAATAGTAGTTTATTATTTAGTGTCAGTTTTTTCATTTTGGTTTATAAATGTATAAAAGCTTCTTATAGCTAATATCTTCTCATATTAAAAGTACTTTTCATCAGATCTGAGGCCTGTACTATGAAAAGAAGTAACTTCAGCAGTAAAGTTCACATCTGTCACTTATGGTTTAATATGAACTTGGAGAGATGGTTAAGTGTTACCTGAGTGTATGTTGTCCAGAGAGCAGGCGCTCCATTACATTTCATAAATGTTTGTAGAAGCAGTCTGCATGACTAAGGGCTTGATTTCATACATCTATGGTCATGGAAGTGATTGAATATCTAAATTTAATTATTTGGATCGGTGACTGAATCCTTCTGGCAGTTTACTGTATTATGTATGTGTATATGGTTCATAAAGTGAAACTCACTAAATTTACTACTATACATTTACTATATTACAGTGGATCAATTTATTAAATCTGCCTGCACCGTGAACTGACAGAGCACAGCTATATTTGATCAAGTAAAATGAATACATTTTACTTGATCAAATGCAGAACTTTTAGTCAAGATATATGTAAGGGATTAGCACAAATATTCATACTGCTGTGTGAAACACCACAGGATGCATCCTAAAATGACAGAACCCATTTAGGAAATGTATTTCTGAAAACATACAAACGTTTAAGTTCAGTATAGTGTAGATCTGATTTGTAAAATTTGTGGATTTCAAAATGTATTATTTTCCCATCCCTAGACTGAAGTCCTGTGACTGAAGCAGAGCAAAGACAGGCCTTTTTTGAGGACAAAAGTAGAAGAATTCCAGATTAAACTACAGATATGCATCTTCTAAAGTCCAAGGTGTACTTTTTTTCTTTGAAGGTACTGAGTTTCTTTTCTTTTTTTAAGTTCTCCAGGATCTGTAATTTTAGATAAAGACTGTAGAATTGTTGCTGGGATATCAACTTTCAAAGCTTGCATGCACAGAAGCGCCTCCTAATTTATGTAACTGTAAAATCTATCACTTTTTGTATTAAATGTACAAAAAAATATCCATAAACATAAATCCAAGTTGTTGTTTTATCTGCTTACTGGGGACCACAAAAATCATTTAAACTGCCTCTGTTTGGACCACTGTTAACACATTAAAATGTAAAGCTACTGAAAGTCTCGCTACAAGATTTATCGTGCTGCTTTGTTTTAATGAATAGAACAAGTGTGGGGACTAAGCTTTGCAACTACACAAGACAGCAAAGGTATAAGCACATGTAACAATGCCATCAACAGCTTTATTTAGAAAAGTGCATCACATTAATAACACAAACTCTCAAAACTTCAGCCTGCACAAAGTCCAAACAGTTCTTCTAGTTTTCATTTCTCCAATGGCGCATAATTCAGCAATTTCTCAATAAGATCCACGTGAGAAAGAAGCATCCTCCTGCAGCAGTACCTCTTCAGTCCCAGGGCATCCAGGGCGTCACTTGAGAAGGAAGAAGAAAAAGTAATGTCGGAGCTAATGCATGATATCCTGAATGAATAAGTGCATGGACATTACTGAACACACTGAGGAAAATGGTCTAAATAGCCTCATGCAATTATGATTCACTTAATCCATCAACTCATTTTCAAGCTGACTTCAAACCACTCAACCTCTACAAACGAAAAAAGTTCAATGTGCAGCGATTGCACTGCTACTAAGTTGTGTTGCCATAATACAACAGTTACTTACAATTTAAGAGGCAATGTCAGTGGAACAAGACAGAATGTATTAGTCTTACCCCTCTGTGTACTCGGCTTGAAGAAGACCAAGGTATGCTTCCCATTTGTTACCAACAATCTTGCCACACGTGAAGCACCGTACAGGGATGATCATGTTTAGACACCTGTGAATAGAGACCTGGTGCTCAACTTACCCAATAAAATTACGTATGAAACACGTATGTGATGTTAACGACCCAATTCTGTTTTCATAGATCTACGAAAAACTTAAAAATATTAGTAGGCTAATTCCGAGCTAGCTAGCGTCACTATTATGCTAATACTGTATCTTTGATGTGTAGCTAAGACAACTATAAATCATGCAAGGTGATAAACCCAAACTTTGTTTACCTGTGCGTTGTTTATTGATATTTTTTGTATCTGTGCGTGTTTTTTTAGGAGCAGTTATCAAATTAATTGAACAAAACACCTAGCTAGCCATTTCAGCATGCCTAACCACGCGCTTAGCATAAAACTTTAGCTGCTTTAACATGTTGCGAATCGCAGTGTTGGTTGTTTACCACAAAAAGCAGAAGGTCACGTTTTATTTACTCACCGTTGCCACTATCGTTCGCTAAAGCACACAAGTTATGGTCTTCTGAGAGAAACAAACACCGGAGAAGTTGTAACTGCTAGCTTTGCTTTCTCCAACCACAACAACAAGAAGACTTCCTGTTAGAATCTTTCAAAATAAAGGACTACTTCGGCCTCACTTTTTGTCATGAAGATCCGGGTAAAAAAAATAATCTAGACAAATTTCACAAAACTTCTCGGAGAGATGTAGCATGGGTAAAGGTGACTATACGGTTAACTACATTTAGAATTATCGCTAACTTATAAATTACAAAAAAGCCTAAAGTGTATGGACTTAATATTTATATCTATGAACAAGTGATATGGTAAATATCTTATGCAAATAAGAGAATTTCCTTCATGTGTGGAAATGTGTTGCCTCCCTGCTGGTGGTTAGCCTTTCTTCATCTGCAATAGCGGAGTGAATTTAATTTTATGACATTTAGAGGTAAAACGAAAAGCTTGAGTAGGTGTTTCTTTTCATTATAACGCATCTTTGTACGAATAAAATTAGACATGCATATCACTTTTCTATTAAATTATCTTGTACACACACATTAATAAGAGAGACTTATGGAGATATTAGGAGAGAATTCAGTTTCTATGTACCCTTATAGCTTCCATATTATTAATAATACATGTAAATTGTTCATTGGCAAAATGATAGAAAAGCAGCAGCCAACCTATGAAAATCTCACATACAGCATTGGCATCACATAAGTACAGCTCTAAAAATGACCATAAAGTTGACTCAGCAGAAAACAAGCTGTCACACTAACTATAGAGCAAACTATATATA